ACACACACACACACACACACAGAAAAATAAATCAGCATCCTGGACAGGCACCGTCTTGGTTCCTGGAACATTTACAGCCTGCAGAGGATGGAGTGAAGCCCGTGTGGCTGAGAGGGAACCTCTGGAAGAAGTCAGTGGGGAGAAACTGTGGGCTGTGGGGGGGAGGCCCTCTCAGTCCCACGGAGGCTCTCCTCCCCCCCCCGGATGCCGCCTCCCTGGGGAGATGGTTTCTGCTGGCCAGTTCCTTATGGTGTGGAATGGGGGGGGGGAGTGTGCCTGTGCATGTGCGACCGAGCGGTGGGCGGGTGGAAAAGTTTTGCACACATCTGCGTGTCATTGATCTTTTTTTCTTTTTTTACACATTTTTAAATTAAAGAATACATAAGCAAGGAAAATCATACAAGCATCAAACAGGATAAGCAAACTAATTAGAAATTATATTTTCCCATTTCTATCTATAATCAGTCTTGCCACTGTGAACAAATTGGAAATCAATCCTTTAGTTGTCCAACTACATTCCTCTTTTTCAAATATTGACAAAAGTACTATTTTAGGACATCCAGCTGATTTACTTATTGCATTTGTTTCCTGAAAAACTAGTCATAAAAATTTTAATATAGGCTGGCATTCCCGTCACATATGAAAATAAGTACCTGCTTTTTGGTATTCTCTCCAGCACCATCTTAGAATAATCAAAGTTTATTTGATTTAGTTTCACTGGAGTTAAGTACTATTTCCAGACTAACTTATAGATATGTTATTTTATCCTTACTGACATAGATTTCCATATTCTGGTATTCCCTGTATTATTCTAAACCCTGCTACTTATTTCTCCCCCTCCAGACCATATTCCTATTATGTTTTAAGTAAATCTTTCTGACCTTCTGTTTCCAAGAAATATTTTATAAATGTCACTTACGTACTTTCCCTTTCATGACCTTATTTTCATGTGTGATATTTTTTGTAATGTAATATCTTCAAATTTCATAAATTCTTCACATTTAGTTTTTTTAACCCAATTTGTCAGTTGCTCTAATTGACAGTCTTATGTCAAGATGTTTTATTCATTCTTATCACTTCTTTTATCTCTTCTTCATTCCCAATTTTTTTCTTTTAAAATATGTTATTCAAATAACTTGCCTCTTTCTTAATAAATTCTTTCAAATTTTCTGGTAATTTCTCCAACTCTACCCCTGGATATAATGGAGAAACTGGGGGAATAAATATTTTTCTGTTAGATTAGGCATCCTTCAGTCTCGAGAAACAATGGTCACATGCTCTGTATGGAGGTCTTGGAACAGCGTCAATTCTGCAAAACCATGACAGTCCAATTTACCTTCAATCTTCCTTTTGGTATCTTGCTTTAATATTTTAATTTATCCCCTTTAAATCTTTCTAGTTTAGCTGGAATATTTGAACTTAAATACATAATAGACGTTTAAATATCAATATCCATTTCTTATTCTCCTCCCCTCTTTATCAGACTTAAACACCAACATCTCTGATTTATCTGTAACTCTGTTATCTCCTCAAATTCTTTTAAATGTAGTTTTACCTTCTCCATAGTTTTTATTGGGTCTTCTATTGCTAATAAAGCACCATCGGCAAATAAACTAATTTTAACTCGATCTTTAATACCAATACCTAAAATTTATTTATCTTTTCTAATATAATTTGCTAACAATTCTATAACTGAAGTAGACAATACTGGATCTGCTCCCCAGGTCTAGAGATAACCATTCTCTTATCCGTCATTTATCAATACTGCTGCTGTATTCTCTGTATATAATTGATTTATCGTTCCCTTAATTTGTTCCCCAAAGCCTGCCCTGTTTCCCCGAAAATAAGACCTGACCTGAAAAGAAGTCCTAGTAAAAATTTTCAGGATGCTCATAATATAAGCCCCACCCCCCAATAAGCCCCAGTTAAGTGAAACCCCACCTTGCAGCAGAAGATGACATGACTATGTTTGAATAAATGTAGGTTATTGTACATGAAAAAAATAAAACATCACCTGAAAATAAGCCCTAATACATTTTTGGAGCAAAAATTAGTATAAGACCCTGTCTTATTTTGGGGGAAACACAGTAATATCTTAATTATCATTTTTAACCTTGGGCATTCGATGCAGTCAATTGCTTTAAAATATCCAATGAAATTATACCCATCTTCACCTTTTGTTATTACATTTTTTACATTTAACACTCTTCTAGTCAATATATCTGTGAAGATTCTCAGTCATCCAGGTGAGGTTATCTGGAAGCTGAGTCATGGCAACTGGACTTCTTTCATGTTAGTCTGAAATATTTTGCTGTTCATCCAAGTAGCTTCTTCAGTCTGAGGAGAGTTGGTGTCAGGGATCTCCTAGCAACTCTCCTCAGAAGAAGCTACTTGGATGAGTAGTGAAATGTTTCAAGCTAACAAGAATGGAGTCCGTTTGCTATTACTCAACTTCCAGATCCAGTGCTGGAGGCATTCAAGAGAACACTGGACAACCCTATGTCGGTTCTGCTTTGATCTGGATTCCTTCCTTGAGCAGGGGGTTGGACTCAATGGCTTTATGAGCCTCTTCCAACTCCATCATCCAAGGGTTCTTTGGTTCTATGAAAGTTATTCATTCTCTTTGCTAGTATTGCTGTAAATATCTTAGCATCTTGATTTGTTAAAGAAATAAATCTATAAGCTCCAGAAGCAGTAGGGTCCTTATTCATTTTGGTATTACAGAATTTTCCAAAATGATGGAATCTTTTCACCCTGCATTATTTTGTCAAGGAAGGACTTTAATTTTGGTACTACCATTCTTCTGAATTTTTAATAATATTCTGTTCCCAAGCCTTCTGTTCTTGCAGTCTTCCCTACATTTAATTTATTAATTCTTTCCTTTATCTCCTCTTCTTGGCTGTTCCACTAATTCTTCATCCATTTCTTGAAGCTCATTCCCCACATTTTTCTATATACAGTAGTCCTTGATTCTTTCCAGAGAAAGCTTCACTCCAGGACATACGTTTTGATAAAAATGTTGGCAGTCCTCCAATTCAACTTTTTTGAAATTACACATTTTGCCACTGTTATTTTTATTTGATCCAATAAGACTTTTGAAATCTGAGCTGCTCTGGCCAGCATTCTTGAATTTCTATTACTATATTCAAAATTATAGGCATCCTTCAGTCTTGAGAGACTATGGTAGCGTGCTCTGTATGGAGGACTTGGAACAGCGTCTAGTGTTTTGACAATGTACGCAAAGCTGGAGTGTCCTCTCTAGAGCACGAAGCCTAGGTAAAATAATATGGAGCATAGGCTGTTACCCAACAAGCAAATCCCCCCTCTCCACATCACTGAAATAGTCCAATGGAAAGGCAAGAGCCAATACAACTGGTTTCAGCAATGTGGTAGGAGTTGACAGAATGATACGAACTGCCTCCGGGACTCCGGCTCCAAATTTTGCCTCGAGGTTAACTCCTGAAGCCTTTTCCATGAGAGGATATAGCCACAAGGCAGTGGAGGTTTGAAATCGGAGTTTTCCTTCTCTTAGATGGGCTGTCTTCCGGGGCTGAACGAGTCCCACCTAATTTAATTATATTAAATTTCTCTGAACTTTTCTCTGAACTTTTTCCATTCTGTGTTCTCAAATTCTTTCCTTTTTGCCTGTATCTCTGAAATATTGGTAACTGGATGTAAGTATAAATGTTGTTTATTATTTTGTTATATGTTTTTAAGGGAGATTCTCACAATTTGGAACCAGAAAGGAAAATGGATGTAAATAATTGTGGTTAATAGTTTAAATGCAATAGCCCTGGGACATAAGGAGAAGAATAGAAGCATTATTAAACAAGAATAAAGCAGATATAATATTTTCACAAGGAATTCATCAAGTATAAGATGGTGTGAAGGAATTTAAATTAAATTGGTCCGGTATTTAAGAAAAAGTGTGTCAGAATTGAAAGTCAAGAGGGCTTGCAACCATTACCTCTAAGAAATGTAATTTTAAAGTGAAGAAAACGAAAAATGATAGTACAAGAAGAGATATATTGTTACAAGGAGCGATAGGAGGCAAGGATAATAATTAAATCAATGTTTACTATCTGAATGTAAATCAAGCTAAGTTTTTAAAGGAAGTACAGTATTTAAGGAACTGGAAGAAATAATGGGCGGGTTTGTAATAATGGCAGGTCGTTTTATAGATGAAGTGAAGAATAAATCACAACCTTATTAAAGCTGAAAAAAATAATAGTATGATAGTTTTTATAGAGTGATAGGAAGGACTGATTTGAAAGATATTTGGAGATGAAAAGAAACAGATGTTTTATTCCTTTGCCCATAAAAAATTTAGAAGAGATTACAGTGGTGTCCCACATAGCAACGTTAATCCGTTCCGGATTAATTGTCGCTGTGTGGAAACATCGCTAAACAGAACAGAAAAACCCATAGGAACGCATTAAACTTCATTTAATGCGTTCCTACGGGGCCCAAACTCACCGTTCAGTGAAGTTCCTCCATAGCGCCACCATTTTCGCACCCTTGGTAAGCGAGGAAACCGTGCAAAAATGGTTGCGGCGGCCATTTTGTGCACCCGGCAGCCATTTTGGAACCGCCGATCAGCTGTTTTAGGAACATTGCAATGCGAAGAACAGTAAGCAAAACGCTTACTGATCATCGCAATGTGATGTTTTGCCCATTAAAACATTGCAATGCGAATAGATCGCGATGCGGATTCGTCGTTAAACGGTGCGCTCATTATGCGAGGCACCACTGTACATGTTTCTGTCTAACAGCCTGATTTCCCCAGTAGTTAAAACAAAGATTGAGCTTCTAAAAGTAACAGATCATGCTTTAATACATATGGAGATTAAAATTAAATGTGACTATAGAGAAGCTAAAGGATGGAGATTGGATGCCAGTATTTTTTTAACCAAATAACAGGTAAAATAGAAATGACAGAAATATGGGAAATTAATGATAGGGAAAGTTGCAACCAGAGTAATACGTGGGATACTCTGAAGGTGTCCATAAGAGGGATTTGCATTAGGGAATCATGTTGGTTAAAAGACAAAATCACGGGGGAAGGTTGAGCGTGAAATGTTTGTGGGAAAGGAAATACATGATGGGTGAAGCTAAAAGAACTGGGTGCCCTTGGTCTCTGGAGCCTCAGGTGAGGTATGGAAGCAGGGGGGCCCTCCTGGGCAGGGGCTCCACCCAAATCCCCCCGCCCACCTGCAACGGCGGGTCAGGCCTCAGGGGTTGCAAAACCTGGTGGCCACTGACGGGGGGGGGGAGAGCAGGTATTGCAATTTATTTATTTACATAGCCCCAGAGGTTGTTGTTTGGGGGGGTGTTGTTTGGGGGGGTTCGGCATGGAAGGAGTAGCTTTTGCCCGCCCCCCCCCAAGCTGGGTTCCCGGCCCCCGGACTGGAGCTGGCCAGTCTGCGTGGGACCGAAGGGAGCCCTGGCCCGCGGGGGTCTCCCCCAAACTCCCCCGGTCCCCCTCCCCCTCCCGCTCCGGGTTCACGCTCTTCCTTGTCCGCCTCTCCCCAGGACACCCAGAAGGCCAAGCAGTTCCTGCCTTTCCTGCAGCGGGCCGGCCGCTCGGAGGCGGTGGTCGAGTACGTTTTCAGCGGCTCCCGGCTCAAGCTCTACCTGCCCAAGGAAACCTGCCTGATCACCTTCCTGCTTGCAGGTGAGTCGCTCGGCTTGCCCTACCCTGCAGGGAGGCAGGGAGGGCTGGGGGCCGGGGTTTGTGGTGGTCCCCGGAGGTGAGGACCAACCCCCCTCAGAAACCAAGGTCCATCCCTTTGTGCCAGTCTTCTGCAGAGTATGTGTGCGTGTGTGCACGCGCGCGCCTGCCCGCACACCCAAGGATGGGCAGTCATTTGCCAACTGAAGCTGGGCATGGCTGTGTCCTCCTGTCTTGGGGGCAGTCCCTGCAGGGGCGGGGAGGCCGTGGATGAAGGGGAGGCCGTTCCTTTGAGGGCCTTGGGCTTGTCTCGGGTGGCTCCAGCAGATGATTCGATGCAACTTGGCGACTTTCTGCAGATTCCCTCCCCCCCCCAGCTTGCTGAATGCTGCTCTTTTGGGCTCAACATTCAGCATATGGTTGAAGTTGTCAGCCCAGCTTGGACTTGAGAGGGCTCTCTCTCTCTCTCTGTGTATGTGTGCGTGTGTGTGTGTGTTGAGCGCAAAGCTGCTTTGTCGGCACTTTGAGTCACTGGGCCTCTTGCTTTGCCCCACGGAAAGGCTCCCCTGGTGTTTCTCCCGCCGACTGGCCTGGGCCGGTCTCCGGTTCTGTCTTTTGGGGGGGCCTGCTGTGATGCTTCGCCCCCAGGGGTGGCCGGGTGTCTGGCGACAGCCTTGGGAGCCAAAGGTTTCCCTCCCGCACGCCGGGGCATCAGCCAAGGAAGTGAGAAGCAAGGAGACTCTGAGGCTGGGGTGTGTGTGTGTGTAGGTGTGTGTGTGGGTGGGTGTCTTTCCTGCCCCTTCTTTCTGGCAAGCGTCCTCCACGCAGCGCTTGGTCTCGCTGTAGCTGGGCAGAGGCCTGCTTGTTCTTGGCTGGGGGGGGGAAACGGCACATGGGGGGGCCCCCGGGGTGTGGATGGGATAGGACGCCTTCCCCATTTGAGAGGAGGGCAGGAGGTGGGCGCCCGGGCCGAGAAGTGACGGGAACTCGGTGTGTGAGGGGTCAGCCCTGGGTGGCCTCCCTTCTGCTGGGCAGGCTCTCCATCCGATCTGTTGCTGCTCTCCAGCCAGGAGCGTTGCATTTCCCTCTCTCTCTCCTTGGCAGGCTGCTGGTGAGGGCAGCCTCACGCTGTGGAAGGTGGACTCGGCCGGGGGGCCCTGCCTCCCGGGCCGAGGGCTCTCTTGTTTCTTCCTCCTCTTCCTCCTCCTCCTCTGGCCGCCAGACCTTCCCCTGCCCAGGAGGAGCCCTCTGGGAGAGCTTCAGTCCGTGAGCGTGCGCAGGCTGGGCCCTTTCCTGCTGGGGGGGGGTGGCTTTGCGCCCAGGGAGGCTGAGCCTTGGTTGGCACTTAGGTGCCCAGCCCAGTGGAGTTCTTGCTGGTCCACAAAGCTGCCAGCCCTGAAGCCTCTGCCGTTGAAGTGTTTAGGTCTCTCCTGCTCAGCTGCTCGCTGGTGGCGGCCGGTTTCTTTCCTCTAAAGGGGAGTGCTGTGGACCCCATAGGTCTACACCTCTAGGGAGCCCCATAGGTCTGCCTCTCTCCCCAACCCCAACCCCCTGGACTGCTTGGTGCCCTTTCCAGTCTTGTGGCTGCTTCTTTCCTCCTTGAGCTGGGAAGGAGTGGCTTCCACTTTCGGAGACCTCCGGGGGTGGGGTGGGGGGCTTCCAGGCCTCAGAGACNAGTTCCCAGTCCTTTCCTGGGCATCTGCCCTCTTTTCTGCCCCCCCACCCGATGCATCTGCCCTCCCTGTGGGGCACAGGGGGAGTCCCGACTGCTTTGGACAGCTCTCCGGGGCGTGGCGTGCGGTGCCAGGCGCCCCCATCTGTCAGAGGCGGCCAAGGGTAGGGCTGTGGCACGGCTGAGATTTCCACGCTTGGGCAGCCGTGGGCAGCCTCCGAGCCGCGGGCGCTCACCAGGCGGGTTTGTCATACAGCATCCTCATCTACCAGCCTTATTTATAATTAACCAATCCTAAAGTCAGCTGCAGAAGACAAGAAAATGAGACTCCTCATTCCCGAGCCTCTGAAACGTTAAAATTTTAATAAGTGCTAAAACTCCCACTTACGTTAAAAAATAAATAA